TTGGTCTCCTTTTTTTTATTGGGATGGGAAAAAAAAAAAAAAAAAAAAAAAAAAAAAAAAAAAAAAAAAAAAAAGGACTTTTCAATTCCGAATACAAATAGTATATAGCATCCTTTTTTCATTACGTTTAGGAGAGTTTCTCCTGTAAGTATTGACAAAATAAACTATCGGATTAAATTACTCTTTTCAATCATCAGATATATATTAAATTCTATTCACTTTGTATACTTTTTCAATTTAATATATAATTTTGATTATATCTAACAGCTAAAAATTAACCCTACTGATAGAGACGTCTGAGAAAGTGTTTAATAAAATAAAAAATAATATTTAACTTTTTAATGGATAATTAAAATATTAGAGTGAATTTTATTAACTCTTTGGTACAAATTTTTTTTTTTTTAAATAGCTTTTCTACAAAACTATCTTTGTGGATTTAGCTGAAAGTTTTTCTAGGGGATTAAAACTCTTCTAAAAAGTAATCTCAACTTTCCAAATTTCTTTTGAATAATTTCTTTTTACCTTTACAATTTCCCGCTCCTTTTTTTTTTTTTAATCTCTTTTTTGCTTTAGAACTTTATGAGACCTGTAGAGGAGAATAATAGTACTATCACCATTTTTTTTAAAATGAAAACCCACGCAACTCCTTTTCTTTTAACATGGCAAATGAAATTGTAGTTTAATTTATCGCCATACATATGTATATGTTGTATAGCCCTTTTGAACTTTGACTGGAGACCAGCTTGATGGACAGTGGTAGCAAAACTTCGGAGAAATAATTATCAATAAATGAATTTTTACTTATTTTCTATAAAAAAAAATAAATTTAAAAAAAATGAAAGAAGAAAGAAAGAAAAAAAGAAAAGAGAATCAACACTAGATTAATTTCATGTAATGCTACGTATATAGATTAAAAATTATATTCAAATCTCTCTTTCATTAGCTAGCTAGTACTGCCTAGAATGCACCAAGCGACTAAGAAGTAGTAGTGCAAAGACATATTTCTTTGTGCTCAAATTGATGGATGCTTAATTAGAATTAGCTAGCTACTAACTACTTGACATTTTAACTAATTAACTCATTATAAGTATGGCATTGTTAATTTGGTTAAATATCATTTAACCAATATCTGTTTCTAATTATTAAAAGCTCTGTTGGTTCTATATTATACCCGTTTCTTATTTTATACAATATATGCACACGCACAATAGTGCTGTATATCCTAATTAAAGGAAAAGGTATAGAGAATGTGGTGTTGTTTTCATGGAGAATATTTTTTCTCCCATTCAACTAAGTTATTCTTCAGTGGTTTCGTGACTCAAAACTAAGGGCACTAATCCAAGTTGCTTAATTAATTATAATCTTCTGGATCAAAACATATAATAATGCCAATGTTATTAATATTAATATATTCACAGGGTTGTTAGACAATATTTTCCATTTACTATATGTACTCTCATTCCCACATTATCTAATCCAAACAAATTCATTCGGTTACTTCGTCACGCATTCACTACTGTTATACTACTTTATGCATCCATTCACATAGAATTTTCTTGGCTGACAAATGGGGAAATCGCGACGAATGGCAAGAGAACAAAAATGGCCAATTTGCTTCCAACCAAGAGTACAAGAAAAACGAAAGAAAAAAATGTAAACCCCAGATATCAATCTTTCTTAGGTTTGAATGTAACAGTCATTAGAAATAGTAGCTAGACATAGGATTGCTAAAATAAGCCCCAATTGCAATACAGAAGTTAAGAAGCTTGACCAAAGTTTCAATATGACGACAAATATTTGGTAGTATGTACTCACATGATTTGAATGAAGTTTGAATGAAATTATGGAACTTAGCTAGGTACTTAAAGGGCATGATTGACATCATATTATAACATACGTCTTGTCCGCAATTTCTTACAAGTATAGATCTATCTATATATATATATATGTGTGTGTGTGTGTGTGCATATATATATATATTTAATGGTAATAGAAATCATGATTGTAGAGTAAATGGGACGCCTTGGCTCCCACTTTGTACTACATAGGGACCTTATTTTGTCTGCCGAACTTTGGGTGCATTTCTATTTTCTTCTGTCTGCTTGCTGGCTTTTAAAGTTTTATGGCCTACGCTTAATGACTATTAAAACGAGATGCGTTGATGATGATTATGTCTGATTTTAATCGATTCATAACATTAAAGAAAATGAGAGAAATCATGACCACATGCCTAACTCGATCGCCCTAGATAATGCATTTTTTCTCTTCCACAAAAAACCATCACATTTATAATTTCATCAAGAATATATAAAAACTTGAAAACAATAAGCAGTATATAATTACTATATTATATGTATAATCTTTATCTATGCTTAATTTGTATCTTTTGGCATAATAAAATCATTTTGAATTGTGTAACACTACCTTCATTATGCAATATACTTGGGAAACTTATGCATTATATAATCACGAGATATAGTGCTGAAACTCTTGAATTTTTATTGAATTTTATTATATTATCTATTCTAATACTTTTATTGGAATACTTGCGTTTAGAAATGCTCACTATCACCGCATAATTAAGTGCTGATGTTTCATCGAAAGGGTTAAAGATACACGGACACTAAAGAAAAAAAAAATCTTTGTAATAAAACTGTCGTTAAATGGAGAATCAAGAAAAGCCTTGACTTGATGATTTTGTTCTTAATATAAATGTTGAGCTTATTTGGTTGGAAGAATCTCCTTCACCTATAAAAATTGTTATTGTACTTGATTTTGGATCAATAATAGCAATTTCTGATTTTAAAAAAAACAAAAAAAAAGAAAGAGAGGGAGAGAGGAAGAAGAAAAGCCTTGACTTTGTAATAACAATGTTTAACTGTAGTCTAATACAGATATGCATCACCACAAGGGCAATTCTCGAGAAGACTTTTAATGTTATGAGAAACCGTCGTTAAAAATAAACACGTTATAAAGCTATAATTTTATCAAGAACCGTCTACTTATATCAAACATTTAACTATCAAAACTTCCATGAATATCTTTAAGGCATTTCCAATGTACATACCAACACTAATGCTATAATTATCATTAAAAAAAATCAAAATAACATATTTAGTATGCTATTGTATTTTATACTCTAATATATAATACTATTTCAAATATATATATATATATATATCTACTTTTTCTCATGATTATTAAGTTTTGAAACTTGTTTAATTTAGATACATTTTTAACATTAAAGTAATTGAAAAATAACAATGTGTATGATTAAATAAAAACATGTTTATATAGAGATTAATAGCAATCAAATGCCAAATTTGATATTTTTTATATTTGATGAAAAATTTACCATTAAATATAGTATTTATCAAATTTAACACAAAAAATAGCATTGCAATCGTGAGTGGTTTTTCACTCAAAAGTTAAAATTTGGTATTAATGACACGTGAATTTCACATTGCACTGGAGGTGTTGTTCTAATATCCGAAACGCGGCCTTTTGAATTGCTGCCCTTTTCTAGGATAACGATCACTAAAAGCTGGTAGTTCTGTAATGTATTATTATTTGTATTAGAAACGCATTAGGATTTCTTACGGCATGCAAAATGAAGCTAACTAATTTAATATATAAGCAAAGGAAAGAGAAAAACAAAGACAGCTCATTGATTGTAGTTTAAAGCTAGGGACCTACGTTAACAAGTCCTGTTCGCCACTATATATATATATATATATATACACACACACACACACACATACACACACACACACACACACACAGATTAAAGCTATAAAAGATAAACCAAGACTAATATACGTTTCATTGCCAGAATTCATTATATTCCATATTCTTCATATCCCTAACTATAATTCTCTGCATTGCATCCTTAACTATGTCGAAAGTACATCCAGCTCATGAGAATAAATATCAAAATTATCGTGTGTTGTCAAAGGAAGGAGCTGTGGTCATCCAGAATAATATTGAAGATCATGATCATGATCATGATTTTCGTTGTTGTCGTCGGGATCACGATCATCATGAACGGCCGTCGGTGCTGACGGTGTGGAAGAGATCAAGTATGAGTTTTCAGGGTACGGATGGTTTCACTGTGTTTGACCAGCGTGGAAGATTAGCCTTCAGAGTTGACAACTATTCCAGGAAAAACTCTTGCCTTTTAGGAGGGCTTCTTCTCATGGATGGAGCTGGCAAAGCATTGCTTACTCTCAAACCTCAGGTAATTATATTTAATTATTATTAGTGCTTTATTATTTATTAATTATGCTAGCTATTTATTAATTTCACTCATATTAAACATATATACATAATATTTTAATTTCCTCTAATTTATATTATACATGCACTTTGAAATCAAATTCTGATATAGCATGGTTCAATTAGAGGACTATATTAGTATCTTCAATACAATCAAAATATGGTATAATATTTCGTTACTGTCTTATTCTAACTTTCTCCTCACTTATAGATACTCTTAACCTAATAAAGAAAGCAAAAACCATAAACTCCATTCCAAATTAGATCTTGTTTTACTTACCTAACACTTTCTTGAATGGTAAAAAATGTACCTAAAAGATCAATAAGTAATGTAATTGGTTTCCGGTTTTTACGTCTGTACGTATTAGAGGTATAAGTTTAGGTCGTCGGCTCCACGCTCAAAAACTCTAAGCCCAAAAAAATTAAGGCCGGGCCCGGGTCAACAATAGCGGGCCTCGGATCAACCCATTTAGCTCGGCCTAAACTTACAGCTCTAATACGTACCAATGCAATTTTTCTATAGAAAAAATAATTTCTAAAAAAAAAAAATGTAAAGTAGTTAGGAAAAAAAAAAAAAAAAAAAAAAAAAAAAAAAAAATCTCTTTGTAAGTGCCACTAGAAAAGAATCAGCAATCGTTCAGCAAGGACGAGATGTCAATAAGAAATAAGTCACTTTTTTAATCAGCATATTCTAAAATCTCGCGACTTGATTTTTGTTTGATCAGGTTTTTAGCATCCAACACCAATGGAATGCATACAAAGGAGAGGAAGGAAACCTAATTAACAGTCCCAAGCCAAACAAAATCTTCTCAATGATTAAAAGCAAGTCTTTCTTCTCCCACAACTCGGACAAAAATATTGCAGAAGCCCAAGTATTCTTGGAAAGAAGATCAGGTCAAAATAAGGTTATAATTGATCAAACGCCTGATTTCAGGATTGAGGGCTGTTTTTGGAGGAGAAACTGCAAGATCAAGAACAGAAATGGAGAGGTAGTGGCGAACATAGCAAGGAAGAAAGTAAACGACAGAGTCTTGCTTGGCGACGACGTCTTCAGCCTTGTCGTTCAGCCGGGATTCGACGCTCAGCTGATCATGGCGTTTGTAATTGTGTTGGATCGCATTTGTGTTAAGCCCTATGTCCCAGTTTTGTGTTCTTAATCATATCTCATGATTGTCACATTACCAAAGGCCTAATAATTCCCACTAGAACATGTTACATATTTTCCATCTTTTTTTTTTCTTTACACTCATGGGAGATATATGTAAATACATGATGGTTTTGTTTTTAATGATTATCTTTTTTAATTATCCATCATAATATTCCTCCAATTTCAATAGTTCCATAGTACTCAAAGAAAGCGAGTGAATTTGAAGAATCTGTTTCAAAAGCGTCATTTCCAATCAAAATTATTATGTGAAAGATTCTTTTTGCACTGCACAGAAGAAATGGAGCATTTTTTCAAAGTGAGTATTCAACAAAATTAAATTCTCTGAAAAAGTTAAATGTGGTTATTCTCAAATCAGAAAATATTAAAGTTAATTTTGACCACATCTAATATCAATAGTGGATTTTGTGTGATTATAAAAACACGAGAGTAAGTGTTCAAGAAAACTGACAAACTGTAAAAACTAGGGGTGTTCATAAACCCGAACAACCCGCAAACCCACCCCGCACCGCCCTAACCCAACCCGAAAAAAGCAACCCGCGGCATTTTTTTTTAATTTTCGGCCCATTATACCTCTGGCCCGAAGTGTTTGGAGCAGATTGTGGGTTGGGCCCGTAACAACCCGCAACCTCCAACCCAACCCGCACACAATACATCCCCAGGCTTAGTTTGGGTTTGGCCCATTAATATTACTCAGGCCTTCGGCCCATTCAAATCATTACTGGCCGCATTAGGAGGATTTAGGGCTAGGGCAGCCCCTCTCCACTATCCAGTCTCGCACTCTCGTCTCTTCAGTCTCGACGGCCGCCCCTCTCCAGTCTCCCCTCAGGCCTTCAGTCTCACAACTCCCCATAGATAAGAAGCACTGAAGCATAAATTGGAATAGTTAGCAACAATTTCCTCGAGTCGGAGGTAACGAAATCTCTCTCTCTCTCTCTCACTTCTTTCTCATCTCTATTTTTTTTTTAGTGTTTGTTTGGATTGGAAATTTGATTTCTCCTTTGATGTTTCTCAGTTCGTGATCGAATTGAAGAGTGGCTGCTTGGTCGGAAGAGAATACCGGCGGATTGGCAAAAGCGATCCCAAAGAAATCGATCCTTATTTCTTCCAGAAATTCAACTCTGAAGGTTAGTTCCTCAACCAGGTTATGTTCCCAAAGAAAATCGATCCTTATTTCTTCCAGAACTAGGTTATGTTCCTCAACTAAGAAAAAGAAATGACTTGAATCCAATCATACGTACTTCTGGATTCGGAAAAACAAACAAGAATTCGAAAAAATAAATGATTTGAATCCAATCATATAGAACTAGGTTGTTTGTGAGGCATGAATGAAGACATAAGAATTATCGTTAAAAAACAAACAAGAAATGTAGATTTTTGATTTTTGATTTTTGATTTGTCTGTTTTGTGAACGTGTTGATTTCTCTTGTATTTTCATCCAAATTATTACTTAAGCTATTTTCAACAAAATTAAATTCTCTGAAAAAGTTAAATGTGGTTATTCTCGAATATTAGCAAATATTAAAGTTAATTTTGACCACATCTAATATCAACAGTGGATTTTGTGTGATTATAAAAACACGAGAGTAAGTGTTAAAGAAAACTGACAAATTGTAAAAACCGACAGCAAATACAGTTATAACAATTGATCTTTGTTTTTAATTGGTTTGATTTTATTGGTTAAAAAGTTCTTTAATATATATGACTTATCATTCTTTCTATAGTTTCATCATATTCTTAAGTACTAATGTTATCTGATGTTACTAACTGCAACTAATTAAAAGACCTAAAATAAGAGCTTATTACTTGATAGTGTATTAATAACATGACTGCCTCGAAATTTCCATTCATAAATAATTGTACAACTTATTAGCCCAAACCAATCGAACCAATTAATATATGTTTTATTTATTTATTGTTATGAAAAGTAGATAATTATTGGTATCTTTTCACCCCTGCCTTTCATAATTTTAAAAATCATAGGCCCCTCAATACAACAAAAATGACGACTTATTTCTACTTGAAGAATAAGTACAGTACTTTTCATAATTGCCATGATGACCATATCCTCCAAGTTGCACGTCACTTTGGCTAGGTAGGGCTCCCGAGTTGAGATTGCGGAGTATCGAATTCTTAACAGAAAAGACATTTTTGCTGCTGCAGGTGTCTCTTAAAAAATTTTAAAGAACTAAATCGATTAAAAATATATAAATATTTTTGGTTTAGATTATGATTTTTCACTCCAAAGTGATCATAAACATCCCTAAAGAGAGAGAATTTTAACATCCTATTAAAACCAATGGCTTGTTCGGTTGTATTTTTGAGTTATGGTGACTTGAGTGTAGATCTTGAGTTGAATTTAAGTTATAACTTGAATTGAAGTTGTAACTTGAGTTTGTTGGCCCAAGGTTGAATATTCTCATGTTTTGATGATAACAAACACAATGTATTATGTTACTAATGATTCTATTTTGAGTTGTGTATTTAGCATAACTGATATTATAAATCAACTCAAGAAGCATATTGTGGAATACAATGCAAATACATTCAAGTTTGAAAAATGCAAATTGAATAAGGAATTCAAGGCTTTAAGTGTTGAAATATCAAAGATCAAGAGCAAGCAAACAAAATCAAGCAAGACAAATACTGATAGGTTTTTATATCTCCTTAGTCTTGTATTTGATTTTGACTTCATACTATCATGATTAATTCTTGTTTAGGCTCATGCACACACTCACATTATTCTTTTAAAAATGAGAATAAACTAAGTGCATAATGATATTTGGCTTAAAAGTATAATTTTGTGAAGGTTTGAGGCAAATTAAGTGTCAACTGGACGACCTATATCATCCGGTGACAGAGAAGGCAAAATGCACCGGTCGACCAGTGTTACCTCAGCCCGTCAACCGCTCTAGTCGACCGGTTCTGCTCAACAGATATTCAATAAGACCGTTGAACAGCGAGAATTCAAAATTTGTCTCAACCGGTCAATCGCTCCGGTCGACCAGTATTGGGTAAACGGGCAAAAATAAGACCGTTGGAAAGTGAGTTTAAATAGAGAAAAATCATTTTTCTCTTCTACGGATTTTCTTTGAGATAAAGAATTTATTCAGAGCTCCCAAATCTCTTAAAATCCAAAAAGGTTTCTCTAAAGTGCCAACATAATCATCATCTTCTCAAAATCCTTACTTCATTCTCTCTCACATACTTAAGCCTACCTTGGATTATATTTTGATAATGTGATTTCACATCTCCTAGTCATTTCAATTGTATAAAACCATTGTTAGGGGTGTATAACTGAGTGATTCACTATTCATAATCATTACTTTGGTATTGGGTTTCTTGGTTGGTCGATCTCCGTAGAAAATCGACATTGTGTAAGAGGTTAGGCGAAGCCTCAGATAGAAAGATCCGCCATCTTGTAAGAGGAGTGATCGTGCCGGAAAGTCGATCGTATAGTGGAAGAGGTCGAGATGCAAAATATCTCGATGACAGTGGATGTAGGCAAATTTATTTGTCGGACCATTCTAAATCTCGTTTGCATCTCTCTTAACCCTATCTCTCTAATTTCCACACTTTAAATTTGATAGTTGACATTGATTGATTTAACCCTTGGTGATAAGCTTATTGAACTCGTTATATGATATTAGATTGATTCATCTTGTGCATATCAAGTGTTTGTGCTATTGCATTAACTTACATAATTTTCTGCACACTGAATGTGTGATAATCACACTGTGTTGAATTAATTGTCTATATTTGTTTTTAATCTTGAATAATTGTATAAACTTTTGAAAAATATTTAAAACTCAATTCACCCCCTCTTGGGTAGACTTACTAGGGACAACAGAGTTTGTGTTTGAATGTGGACATTTGAGTTATGGTTTGAATTGATAATTTATTTAAGTTTGTGTTTGGGTGGATCAAAACTTGAATTTGTATTTAGATAGTATTTTAATAAAAACTCAATGGTGATGGAAAATTTTAATAGGGTATATGGATGAGATTTTATTTGTCTCTTCGCTGGAATACATAGAAAAAAAATCATCTCAATCGGAATTAAAACGAAAAAATTATAACATTTTTAAGAATAAAAAAAAAATATTGTTCATTAACTTGAGTTCGAGTTAATGAACTCAAGTTGAAGGGGAAACTTGAACTCGAGTTTAACCCCAAACTCGAGTTTAAACTCAAGTTCAAACTCGAGTTCAAGCTAAAATTTTACAAAAGAATATAAACTTGAATAAAGTTGTAACTCGAGTTCAAACTTTTTCTGAATTTCGTTGCAAAAGAACAACCCCCAAGTAATTTTCATATTTCATTTGATTTACACAATATATATATATATATATATATATGTGTGTGTGTGTATATTTGTCATCCCTATATGTATTAGGGTATCAGACCCTAACCTCAACCACGCAGTATCGAACCCCGATTCTCGTATCGGACCCTGATCTTAATAGGCTAATACTAAACCTCGACCCTAGTCCTAGACACCAACCATGGTCCTAGACCCCGAGCTCGATCATAATGCATGTCCTAAACTCGACCCTAAAGTCAAAAGAAAAATTGTAGACCTCAACCACGATCGTGGAACCATACCTTGGTCGTGATCCTGAACCCTAATTCTAGTCCCGGATGAACCCAACCTTGGCCTAAGACACCAATCCTTACCCTAATCTTCGACCCCGACCAGGAGCTAGTCCCTATCCCTAACCGCAACCCGATAAAGATCCCTGATCCCGATCCCAATCCTAGACCCAATTGTTGTCTTGAACCCTAAACCCCACCCCGATGAGGTCCCTAATCCCTGACACCGACTCAGTCTAAAATCTAAACCCCAATCCTAGTTTTGAATTCCAACCACAATTCTCAATCTTAAACCTCATTCCAATCTTGGTACTAGATCAACCCTAGCACCGATCCATTAGACTCCCAATGTCGATTTGAGACCTCAATCCCAATTTCAAACTCAAACACCTATCTTGTATCAATCCCCAACTCGAGTCCCAATTTTTGATAATTTAAAATATTTATTATGTTTGTTAATATGGTCTTTCAAGTTAAATTAAGCATTACAGTTTAATATACATAGGATTTTTCTGTATTAGATAAATTGTATGATGCATGAAAATTGTCATGCCTCATAGTTTTGAAATAATACAATATGAAGTGTACAGCACAGTAATTGTAATAGAAGACATTTTTTAAATGGTTTTAAAACAATCGATGGAAGCAAATAGTATAATTTACTAGTAAATATTTATTCACGTGTCGTAAATACAATATTGAATGGTAAATACTGTTTATTTATCTCTCAGTACTATATTTATGTCAAGTTAGTCAGTGTAAACATTGTATTTACCACTCAATACTATATTTATACCAAGTAAATAAATTTTATCATTAAATATGCTATTCACTTCAATCCTATCAAAAATATCTTATTTATAAAAACCGTGGTAATCTTGACAAATACCCTTTAAAAATGCATGAATCAGAATTTTTACTTTTTACTCTTAATTCATAACTTTTTAGTCAAATAATTACACTAACAAAAGAGTATTTATCAAGAGTAAGAGGTAAAAATCCAGACTCATGCACTCTAATTCTCCATTTTTTATATATAAAAATATGCTCTTTTGCCTCTCAATCTCTAATACATCGCGCCAAGCAAGCCTTATATACATCAGGGTACACACAACACATGATGTCCATCTACGGGCATCGAAACATGCATGCAAGACATCTTTTCCAGCAAATTTCGGATAGAGAAATTCTATTTGCATATGATTCTAGCAATTTTATTTGTATATAAATATATTTTCCTTTCGAAAGGTATTGCAAAGACCTAAAACAAGAAACACTATTATATCTGTGTTATCGTCAAAAATAGGCACATGGCTTCTTGAACATCTCTAAAATGGTATGGATCTCATTTCACCTGGCCATCTATTTTTCCTAAAACTCCATGGTTATGAAATCATATCTCAAATTTTTATCAGAAAATACAACGAAAACAAATGCATGTAAAGCCCAAATTAGCAATAAAAATGAATAGCCACGTCGGGTGCGAACCAACTCAACCTGGTACTTGTCCGCGATTAGTGATACTGTTGCTAGATACTATAGAAACTTTGGAAGCAGTGACTAGCCAAAGACTCGGAAGATGTCATTCTCACATGAATCAATCACCAGATACGTATGACTTGTCCTCATAATACCTTCTCTCTCTTTCTGCCTTCTTCTCATTACGTTTCTGAAGCCAAAAATTTAAAATGGAAAGCCATAATTGTTAAGACTTGATGTATGTGCTTATATATAACTGACACTTATATCAACTAAAATTAAAAAGGATTGATCTCACCAATGACCCTCTGAACTTTGAGGCACTCCCAATTTACCCCCGAACTTTAAAGGACTTCCCCTAAATTTTGAGTGAGTCCCATTTAACCTCCTTTGTTAGAATTTCTATTACGGAAAAAGAGTGAGTTAAGTATGGTCAAGTGGTCTTTTTTTTCATTTGTTTTTAACAGAGAAAGACCGTGTGATCGCACTATCTCTTTTTTCCCGTCTGCTTTTAACAAAAATTCTAACAAAAATGGGTTAAGTGGTACTAATTCAAAATCAATAGGGCATAGAGTTTTTAAAGTCTGGAAGCTAAACTGGAATTCACTCCAAAGTTCAGGCAGCAAGACGAGATAACTGTCATAGATCAGCATCAAAAATAGATAATGGATAAACAAATAAAAGACACGTTCTGCGGTTTACAATGTTTGATGTGTCATTCCTTTTACAGTTCGAACCTCTTATAAAATCATCCTAAAATATATTCAATGGACATATTTTGATCAAGAATAAAGAGTATGTAGTTTAGGTGTAGAGAAACCTGGTATGCTTCATGATTGGACACAATCCTTCTGATTATTGTGGTTGTTGTGATATCGAGAGGGCTCTCCAGAATTTTAAATATGCCCATGCTGATTGGCACATCATATGGGTTGCCATTTTCCTGTGAAATAAAACGGTATCAGAACCAGAGGATAAAGAGCAACTCTATACATATAAATTCAAGCAGTTTGTTCTAGTTTACCTTCTGAAAATCATTATTCTCTGCTACTGTTCCATGCACAACTAGCGAAATGTTAAAGGTGGTGATCTGAAATTGCAAGAATTTCCCACAGCTATGTTACATATAATTCAAACACACGTACTTCTATAAGATAATAACAAACAGCTAAATACCGGTTAAAACAGTAATTAGAACAGCTCAGGCTAACCCAGTTATATTTAAAAAAAATATCTAATGTCAGTTTTAGAACGATGGATGTAATGGCAGCTGGGAACTCCCTGTTGTACTAGGTAAGCATGCCCCAAGGTCTATTTTTGGATAATATCCTGCTCTTTGGTTTCTCACTATGACTTACTATATTAACCTAAATTAGACTCATTGAGGCTTGCACTAGAAATTACAAACATTTGTCAACCAAGTAATGAATTAAAAAAAATTTCCTCTGGGGACCAGGATCAATAAAGAAAAAGAACAATGGGCAACTACACAAATAATCAAGCAATTAATACTAATTTCCAGCCAAAAAAAATGCAAATTAATACTAATAAGGCACAACTCACCATGTCTCTAGACACTTCCCATGGAGCACCAATTATCACCTCATCAACATAGCGGCATGCCAAAACACTAAGGCTTCTTTCATGAAGATTCATGATTGGCCGATGTGCTCCTCTCTTAGCACTGCAGCATAATCATTACAAAAAGGCAAAAAATAAAAACAAAACAAAAATGAAAAGAAACATCAAACACTAGTAACCTTGAAATAAAAGAAAAATTTACAGTGAGTTTGGCCTTATGTTCTAAAAATTGTCAAGTGGCGTACAATATGACACATTGTTTTATGCATATAAACAAAGTCATGACAAAAGTCAATACTAGTAATAGCGAGCAGCAAAAAGGGCAATTTCTTCAAGTTGAAATTTCCATAAATACTTGTGCCCATATGTGTGTGTAAAGAAGTGCCATAAAAATATCGTGAACCATTAAGTGTTTGTTCCCTTAGGGAGAGCAAGGTGACTGTTAGGATCTTGAGCTCAAAAGAAGTGATAAACCAGCAAGAATTCAATAAGAATCTGACTAATAGTTTCTTTATTGAAATATTAATTAGAGTGGCGCAGCGGAAGCATAGTGGTATGTTAGGATCCTGGTTGAGTCCCACATTGCTAAAGTATGGGCTTAACATGTGGGTTTATAACCATTTGGGCACCCTCTCCCTACAAGCTAGCTTTTGGGGGATGAGTTCTACCCAAGGGTTATATCAATTGGTATCAGAGCATGCTCCTCCTCAAGCCCACGTTGCGGAAGGGGCGACCTAGAAAGGCCAGAGTGGGCCATCCAGAGTGGACCGCCGTGGACATCGGTGTCGGAAGCGTGGTGGTATGTTAGGATCCTGGTTGAGTCCCACATTGCTAAAGTATGGGCTTAGCATATGGGTTTATAACCATTTGGGCACCCTCTCCCTACAAGCTAGCTTTTGGGGGATGAGTTCTACCCAAGGGTTATAACAATTATTGAGCTCAAAAGAAGTGATAAACCAGCAAGAATTCAATAAGAATCTGACTAATAGTTTCTTTATTGAATATTAATCAGTTTAATAATAAAGATAGAGAGGGATTTTCAAGAAACCCCACAACCTCCCAAGCTAACAGCCAAAAACACCAGAATTCTCTACAAATCTCATGCCCCTCTGCAACTAAACCACATATTTATACTATCCTCAAGACTATTGAAAAAGACTTCTAAATATTAGATTCCTAACATTACTCCCGCTCCAAAGAATCACCTTGTCCTCAAGGTGAAAATCAAGAAATAAAATTGAAAAACAACATCTAAATGATTAAGAACAAAAGGCTTTGTTATTTCCTCGATTTGAGTCCCCAAATTGATGTTGTCTTTGTAAGACACGTCTTCAAATTGGAGCCACTCAATTACTTTCTTCTTCATCTTCGTTGTATCTTGGAAAGCAACCACAAAGTCCACCAATTTAGTTGGAGCCCCCTCATCAAGCTTATCAATGACCATAAAAGCTTTTGACAAATCCATCATTAACAAGAAGTTTCCTTCTCAGCTAACTAGGTCTTCGTCCTTTCAGCCTCTCTGTCACCAATTGCTTCATACCCATTTACAGACTTACTATACCCAGTCGTAAATGTGTTGAAATTTTGAGGCCCAACCACCATTGCACCAGAACTAGGCCCAATATTGTTGTAATTATGATGTCCAACCCTAACCCTGCCAAAATCGACCCAGTTCACTCTTGAATCACGATGCCCAGTCCACACTCTTGGGAACACAGCTCCCAAATCGCTAACGGTGGCCTCAATAGTTCAGGAATTCCAAAACCATGCCTTACCTTTGCTGGAATTAGCCCCAACCTCACCGGAAACACCCTCAACAACGTCAGAATCACGAGACCCGCTCCAAATTTGGCCGGAATTTTTGAAAACAACACCAATCTCACCGGGATCAGCCTTAATGGTGTTGGAATTGCGGGACTCCACTACAATCCCGCCGGAATCTGCCTCTGTAGCACCGGAATCAACCCCTTTCACGCCGGAATCGTGAGGCCCTATCCAAACAGCAGCCAAATCGTCGAGCCCAGCCTCCATCGCGCCGGGATCTATCTCCGTAGCACCGGAATCAGCCCCTTTCACGCCGGAATCACGAGGCCCAGTCCAAATCGGTCCGGAATCAGCCCCAACCGCGACCGAAACAGAGACGGGTTCCCTGTTCTGAGGGTACCCATGCTGTCCCAGTCCCGGAGCAAGCCTCTCCTCCTCTAACTCCGGCTCCCACTCCGATTCTCGTCGCCGAACAAGCTCCGCCGCCCTCTCCCGACGGTCGCAACCTCCGTCCGCCCTCCTCCCGTCGTCGAACAACCCCTCACGCTGCAGATCCGGACCACCCAGCCCCAGATCACGACAGATCTCGCGCTCCTCCATGAGACCCATGTCTCTCCGGCATCGAAAGTCCCTCTCGCAGCCTCGATCATCGCGAATCGGCGCTTCCCGGCGAAGATCCGCCCGATTTGGCACCTCCACTCCGCCTAGGTCGACGCGATCTGGGCTCTCCTCGCCCCGAGGCACGCGATCTCGCCTCTCCCCGTCCCGTCGTTCGCCGTCGCGACCCAACTCGGCCTTCCCGGCCATCGGCCGCGCCGCCAGCAGTGCCTCCATCCTCCACAGCACCGCCTGCACGTCTTCCATCTGAGTCCGAACCTTCCCCACCTAGTCCCGGAGCCCCCCCCCCCCAGAAACCTTGAGATTAGCTCTCTAAACAGCCCTAAGTTTCTCTCTTAACTCAAAAGGCTCCATGAATCGTAGATTCTCTGATACCATTGTTAGGATCCTGAGCTCAAAAGAAGTGATAAACCAGCAAGAATTCAATAAGAATTTGACTAATAGTTTCTTTATTGAATATAAATCAGTTTTATAATAAAGATAGAGAGGGATTTTCGAGGAACCCCACAACCTCCCAAGCTAACAGCCAAAAACACCAGAATTCTCTACAAATCTCATGCCCCTCTCCCTAGCAACTAAACCCCCTATTTATACTATCCTCAAGACTATTGAAAAAGACTTCTAAATATTAAGTTCCTAACAGTGACAAGCCTATGGAACAATTCCAACCCTAGCACAGTAGTTAAAAAAAAAAAAACATTTTCTCTATAGTAACAAGTAAAAGGTTCATTACATAGGTTCAGAAAAACAAAAGAAATCAAGAAATGCTAAAAGAACTGGGTCAAAAAGAAAACCCTAACTAAAAAGCCTGCATAGAGCTACGCAGAAAAGATCTTTCAAAGAAGATTTACGCTATATTATACCAGGTCAAAATTTAGTAATTTGTGACAGCTTAAGTTGTGCGCTTATAGAACTAGCCATGCAGAAAAAGCAAAATCTTAGAAAATGCCCTTTAGAAAGCACCCCAGCAATGGATTTGTTTTTGTGAAATATATTCTAGTTCTAGCATTTCATCTCCAGTGCTTTGGGTAACTCCCATCAGCAATGTTTAGAAATTTCTTTAGAATAGATATGCTTCAGTTGATGGGGCTAAGTTTACATAACACTAACACTAGGTAAAGAGTAACCAATTGAAATTTCAAACTGGATCAAGTATCCATATTCTTCCTTAGGAATAGTGTTCAATTTATTGCTTGTCGGGATGGGTAAATTTCTTTAAAAATATATATATATATATATATATAAAGAAAAAGAAGCAGCTTTACAACTTTTGGCCTCTCATTAATACCTTCGGTCTTTTCACCTACTTCCCTACCAAATAACATCAGATGACATTGTTGAAGACCCTTGCCTTGTGCAGTGGCAAAAGTTGTATACTTAAAATTTCCTTTTCTTTGATATCTTTAAAGCCAAACATGTGATGTAATAGAATTTTAGAGCTCCGCCAAGAAACCAACCAAGACGGGCAAAAAAAAAAAAAAAAAAGGAGAGAGAGGAACCAGATAAGCACCCTTTCTAGTCAACAGAAAAGAGGAGAGGGGGTACCACAAAAATTACCCAAAAGAAAAAGGGAGGCACCGGAATAGAGCTCTAAAAAAATACAGTTTCATTGAAATAAAAGAAAGCGATGTATAACCTGACAGTCTGGTCGGTGTGTGTCCCAACAAGAAGGAAATCTCCCAGCTCTTTAGCAACTCTTAAAATCTAGAAAACATTTTCATTTAAACAAGTAAATATATTTATAGCGTATGCTGATGGCAATTAATGTTATTTATTATCATAAACAAAAATAAAAAGAAGACAACACTAGCACTGTATTGAAAATTAGCGTAACAAAAATGACATTAAGTGCGAGAATAAGATCTCTACTACCTCAACATGTCCAGCATGAAAAAGGTCAAATGCACCATCTATATAAACTATGCGAGCATCCTGTCCTGGCCCCTGCAAACACAAATCAAGAGAAATTTCAGGATCGAATCACTAAATGCATTTCAGTTCCCATCCCATCAGAGCAATAAAGTAAATTTGCAACATAGTAGTAACCAGTCTTTCATATTCACTTGAAATGCCATTTTTATTTTGAAAGGAAGTGACAGAAAAATTATTGTCATAACAAAAAAAAAAAGAAAGAAAAAAGAGAGAAGAAAATAAAGAAAGAAAAACGCCTCAACAGTTGCATGTATCACTCCTGCCTAAGGTGCCCAATGTCACCTACCTCAGATGTACGTGAGGCTTGAACCTAAGGCTAATTTGCACTTTAAAATCAGATATCATTCAATTGTATCCAAGATCTCACAGAAAACCATACTATTATGATTTGAATATAAAGAGGAGGGGAGGGGGAGGGGGGGAAGACTCAGCAACTCAGCTTAGTCAACTTCTCCTTTTCCTTTATTTCTTAGCGCGCCCATCTTTTTTATTTTTCTTTTATCTTCTCCTTTTTGTTCCCATCGCTGTCACTTGTCTTCTGTTCTTTGGGATTGCTGCACTAGAAAGCTCAGTTTCTTCTCCATCATTACTCCTTGTTGTTGTCTGATGCTATCACCCTATTTTTATATTTTTTTTAATGCAAATTTCATTTAAAACCACGTGTCGATCACCTCTCCAGTATCATTACGCCTAAAAAAAAGAACTGGAGACAAAAAAAAAAAAACACAGAGATGGTCTTTAGCATTACTAGTGCCCAGAAACCTAATTAGATAATACCAGTTCTCACCTAGTTACCGTACTCAAATGTCATTTTTCTCCTGCAAGTTTCTTTGCCAGTTAGGACAAGGAATGACTCTGAGTGAACATTTTGATGTCAAGTGACTAGCAGCAGGAATTCTAAAAATAAACAACAACTAGGTTGGTGCGTGCATGGGTCGCAAGTGTAGGTTCAAGCTCCAACCCAAACTCTCAATAGTTTGGACACCCTCAAGTTGAGAAAATGATTGAACCAATAAACTAGAAATATAACAGATCTAATCCAATATGAAACACTTATTTTTTTAGTGCTGAAGATCAAGCCCCGTGTTTGAGTAATCTTGGTTGAGGGCTTTTATTTTCAAGAACTACTGGTCTGTTCAGGTTTCTTCAGGTAGGAAATCCTGCAGCCTGACACCAGCCTGAATATTTCAGATTGCTCCTCCAGATACGCCCAACACACTGAGATCAGATTTGGCCTATGTCTAATGCTTATTTCATCCCTTGAATTTAATTTGAAAAGGGCAGCCACGTTCCTAATAGCACTAAGCAATCTCAGGAGGTGCAAGTGCTACAAAGTCCAACCTCTACTATTCTCTTACTTTGTGTTCATCATTCTTCTTGATGTAAATTATCCTAGGCACATAAACTGAGGGACTGCAATTGCCTACGTAGTCCAGTCTTAAGAATTCATCACTATTATGAGGTGAATCTAGGCTACTTAGCCACATCTTCTCTGGGGCTCCAGGCAACACAAATCATCATCCCAATTAGCCAATGAATGTTAAAACGCGTCTTAATCCAATAAGCAAACCAAATGAACCAACAACAGTCTATATTGCTTCAAGTGCGTATAGAATCAGAAATTAATAAATTAATCCCTATCACACAATAAGGTATTAGGTTGCCAACTAGAAATTGTTTGTGTATTTTGACATTAAAGCTTTAGAGATTGAAAGTGGTTATAATCTTATTTCTGCAGTCATTTTAACTTCATCATAGTGAAATTATATTAACAGTATTTCTATAGCATACCTTCCCATTGGAGAACTGAACAATTCTGCGAGATGTCGGTAGAAAATGAGATACACGAGTTCCACTTCCAGATCCACCATCATCAAACTTTTGCCCATGACCGTGGCTGAACTGTCTTTGCAACGAAGAGTGACTGTGGCTGTCACTGACGGATCTCTCTCTCACACAAAGAAGCATACGGCCTGTACAAAATTTATGTTGAAAACATTTGAGAAACCCACAAAAAACCGATCTTGAGTCAACATGAAACATCAAAAACAACAGAACATTTGGGAAAAACACATTTGAGAAAATAAGTATAGAAGATAAATTGACTGAAAGTCGAAAGAAGGAAGCATGCCAAGCAACATGAAAATATCCATACGAGCCTAAAGCCCTTGAAAGAGCAGAGCAAGCTGCAGCTAACGATTCATGAAGTACTACGAACAACAGCCCCATCATAGACATACACAAAAAACATCTTACAAGCATTTCCACAAACCATCATTCTTATTTTAGGAAATGAGAAAATTTTATAAAGACACCGGGTTACAACAAATGAGGACAACATGTCATCTAGAAGTACAAAATCAAAGAACCACAGAAACATGCACAACATTTTTTAACATAAAACATAGAAGAGGGGATACTGAGATTTTGAACTAAAAAAATGAAATCAATATCCAACAATAGAAACTAAAATATGTAACGTAACAAGAGCTTTCACCAAAATAATCAAACACTCTAGAGCGGAATCTAAATCCTTAAGGTCCAAGAGTAATGGTTCCATTAGCCAAAGAGGATAGACCTATGGAACTCCTCTCCAAAAGCCCCCATCAAGACCAACACCAAAGACCAGTTCTGCGTGGGCAGAACAATGAGGAGATCAACAACTAAGCGTCAAATACATAACCCAAGAGAAAATAAAGAAAATGTATTAAAACAATACTCATTTCTTGTCTGTTGCACCAGATAATTTGCTAGGAAGATAATGCTAAAAATGTAACTATCACCAAACTATTTTATGCCTGATGAGAAATCCTCCGACCAAGAACCCACAAAAAGGAAAACCAACAAAAAAACATGGGTCCATATATAATTCCAAGCTTAAATATGGGCAGAAAAATTAAAAGAAAAAAAAAAAAGACAAATCTGACCAACAATGTCGGTGCTAGAGACGCCTTCCGTACGCTTGATCTGCTTATAGCGACCAGCCTTCTTGGCAAGAGCATAAGCATCAGTCCCATCAGGAAGAACACACGGATCATCTCCATGGATAATATAATCTATATTATACTCATCAAACAGCTTCTTCATGAAATCCTCCGTTATAGCATAAGGAGCGTCAGGGATTATCTCATCAACCCACTTCACCGCCTTCACCATGATCATCCTTTTCCCCCCACCCAAAAAAAAAAAAAAAAAGCTTCATTGCAAAGTCCCAAACTTAAAAAAAAAAAAAAAAAAAAAAAAAAAAAAAAAAACCCTAGAAAATCATAACCGGCGAAATTGAAATCAGCGGGACCCACCTTTCGTTGAGAGGAGTCACCGGAGGGCCCTTGTTGGCGATGATTTCGGCGTCGCTGACGACGCCGACGACCAATTGGTCGCCTAGGGCACGCGCCTGGCGGAGCGCGTTGCAATGGCCGTAGTGCATCATGTCGAAGCAGCCGTCCATATAGACTCTCACCGGCTTCTTCTTCTTCTTCAGACTCCGCCACCGGATTGTGAGCGGAAGCTGAGGGCCATGGTAGGGCTCCGACGAGGACGAGGCCAGAGCCGAGGCTCCAATAGCGGCGACGACGACGCCGCCGATCAAGCAGGTGGCGAGGAACTTGGCCCAGCTCCCAACGGTATCGGACTTCCCGGCATCGGAATCCATTGTTGCTCCTCCTTGTTGTTCTCTACAAGGCCGCCGTCGAATGTGGAATTGTGGGGAGAAATCGAAACGTGCGGCATTTAGCTTTGTTCCATTTCCACGTTTACGCTGTCTGAGATTTTGATTCGGGCTTTTTATTCTTGTTTGTCTGTCTGTCTACTTCTGTCGGGTTCCGTTTCCCTCTTTCCTTCACTATCTCTCTTTTTCTGATTTTTCTCCTTTTTTTATTTTCTGTTTTTTTTTTATTTGCCTAATTTCTACTCTCCATGTAAGGCATTGTTCAGTTTTTTCATTAGATTGTTAATTTAAGTTAAAATAAATTATGTGAAAATTTTTAATTATAATAAAAAAATTAAATATTATTTTTTATAAAAAATTTTAATAAAATTAAAGTTGAAAATTTGAATTAGTAACATTAACGATAATTGTGTTTGTGTTACTTCAAAATATGCAATTTTTTAATGAATTGTAAGGTGCCATCCTCAACTTTTTTTTTACGTGATACATTTCAAACTTACAATTTATCAAATTACACCCTAAAATTTAAAATAAATAGTAACTAAACTTCAATAGCTAATGACTATGATTAAATTGACGATTGCAAACATAAAATTCACATATGAAATTTTTTTAAACCAATCACATTTAAATCTCGTGTCCCGATTCTATCAATTTAGTAACATTATCGGCTATTAGACTTCAATTATTACAAATTTACAAGTTAAGGTAAAATTGGGCTACGCCAACTCCACCCAAAAAAAAGAAGGGAAATAGTAGAAAATAGGCCAATATGAAAACCTTAAGAAAGTATATAGGTCAATTTTTAGTTATAGAAATTAATAGACCATAACTTGTCAAGTTATGGTTCATAACCAGATAAGTTATGAACAAACTTGTCAAGTTATGGTTCATAGCCAGATAAGTTATGGACAAAAACCGTAAATAACTTGTCAAGTTATGGTTTATAACCAGACAAATTATGGACGAAAACAGTAATTTTGCTTATTTATTAACTTATGTAAACTATTAGCCTATTAATTTTAATTCATCTCAAGTCTTGACATATTTTCTTTCTTCTCCCTAAAAAGAAAGTGGGGCCCGACCTACTTGAGCAATAGTCTGCCTAGCCCACCCCAAAAGTCTGCATGCATCCTGGTATGTTTTCTACAAGAAAAAATTTTAGAAAATTTGTAAAAATATCATCAATAAAATAATACTATTTTGTTTCTACTATTATTATTAAATTTATCTTATGTCACTATTAATATGCAAGTTATGTTTTCGTAACCTTTAAGTTATCTTTCGTAACATGCATGTTATCTTTTAATATTTTGCAAGTTATTTTTCATAATAACATCAAAATTTTATGTATAAAAAATAGAGTTAGAAAAAATAATAATTAAACTTGTAATTTTCTCAAAAAAATTATTAAAAAAATAATCGGGCTGGCTGACCGTTAAGTTTTTAAACCTTCAGACAAGCCGGAGTCAAAGAATTGGGCTTCGAGTTGATCCATTTGATCCAATCCAAATTAATATCTCTAGTATTATGAAAAAAATAAAAAGTTACTTATCCTTTTTTAACTTGGGGATGGAGGATTCATAAATTTATTTCATAAACCACGTAATTATGTGTTGTGTTCCTTCTTATTTTGTTTTTTTTTTTTTAACTCTTCTCTTTTCTATCAAACAAGATAAGATAAATGATTATGGTACAATTTTTTTCTCCACATTCATCATCATCTCTTTAACTATCTTCATTCTTCAAACTAGACTAAATTTAAAAAGCCCTCCAATACATTCACTAAAATATAACTATAAAAAATAAAATATAACATATAAACAAAATTGTAGGCCCGATTAATTTATTTCTTTCTTAACCTTTTTAGTGGTATTGTAAGTGCTTACACAAGTTATCAAGAGTCAAACGAATGTTATTGTAAAAGCTTGGGAATATGAGCATAATTATTTGTGTCAATGCCAAAATTGATTTCTAAGAACTCAGGTTGTCGTATGTTTATTTGAAGAACTAGGTTGTCTGTTGTCCATTATAACTCAAAATGTCACAAAATTATCTCTTTCTGTGTTTATTATAGGTTGCCATAGCCGTTAATGGTTTTAATTAAGGGTGCACAGGCAGTCAGATTGATGGTTTGAATGGGATTAGTTCGGTTTTTTCTAAGACTCGGTTAGAGATGAATAATGTTAGAACTTTAGACGGGCTGCCCGCGACCGCCCGAACATACTGAGTTTTTGCCCAAAGCACGACCCGACCCGTCCGAAAATTTTGGGCCGCCCGCCCGAGCCTGAAAGGCCTGTGAATGGGCCGCGGGCTTCTATTGGGTTGCCCGAGCCCGCCCGAAATACCTGAAATTTTTTTATATTTTTTAATATTTATAATTATTAAGTTATTTTGTGTTAAAATTATATAAAGACTAAAATCAACATTCAACAGTCATTATTAACACAATTTAATAAATTAATTTTATATATTAATTTTTAAATTTGTAATTCATGATTGTTTCGTTAAAAACATTACCAAGAAAAAACCCAATTGGGATAAAAACTTGGTAAGAAAAAAAGAGTGCAATCATTTTGTGACGAATTACAAATTTTACAAACTTACAAAGTTATATAATTACAATGTCAAAAGTAAATACATATTTACAAATTACAAATTTACAATTTAATTTGAAGCTGAAGGATCGTCTTCAATATTAAATGTTAATCGATTAAATTCATCGATCCATTCTTGGCTTACCGGCGAAATTGTATCTTGTACACGTTGATCGGCACGATCCCAATCCTTAATGCAGACCAAGACTTCAACAATGTCCCATTGCAATGCATTCTGGCATTCCTCAAGTATTCGTCATATCGTACTGAAGGCTTGTTCGGATGACATAGTGGAGACTGAGATCGAAAATATATCCATTGCCAATCGAGTTAGGATTGGCCAAGTTAATGCTTGTGCCTTCGACTATTGAATTAAGTCAAACGATTCTCTAGTATCGTCGACTACTAAGCTTTCACTGAGGTACGCCATAAGCTCGTTGAAGCTGTCGCCGCCTGTTGATGAAGATCCACTCTCAGCTTCTGTTTGAGTTGTCTTCTTCTTCTTCTTCAACCCGAAAACATTCAAGAATGAATGCGAGTTTTCATCTTGTTGTCGCGGTTCCTGTACTCTAGAGTTTGTGCTTCTAAACCTAATCTCATATTTACTATAGATCGAATATATTTTTGCCTTTATTATTGAAAATTGGTCCGAACAATTGATGCCTAAAAATTCACTTAAGTTTTCTAAACCACTTTTTAAACCGTCTAATTTTAATCTAGGATCAAAACTAGTACCTAAACCATACAACAAATGCAACTTAGACGAATATTTTTTTAATTTTTTTCATAGAATAGATAGGAACTCCTAAGATTGGGTCCTCCCTATATTCACTAAATAAAATACTAATTCTTAAAAGTTTACCTAAAGCTAAAGGTGATGTTGGGTAATATGTTCCACTAAGTTTTAGAGTAACTTCATGAAACCTACCTAAAAATTTATACAAAACTTCGGCAATTTACCAATCATATGTGTCTATATGTCATACTCCTAATTTTACATACAAATAGTTTGTTATAACAACCTTATAGGGGATGCATTGTTGAAGCATTATATAAGTTGAGTTCTATCTTATAGGCATATCTAACACTAATGCTCTAGGAGGTATATTTAATGCTTGCAAGAACCTAAATCAATATTCTTGTCTTTGGTTACTACCTTGAATCCATGCAAGACTATCTCTAATTCTTTTAATGTGATTACCTATTTCTTTTAAACCAAATTTAACTATTAAATTAATTACGTGACATGCACAACGTTGGTGAAAAATAGTATCGTCACCGAATAAACTTAAATCATTTTCAAAGAACTCAATTGCTTTTGTATTGACACTAGCATTATCTAATGTTATAGTCATTACTTTATCTCTTAATCTAAATTCATCAATTACATTTAAAATTGTATTATATATTACATCCGCACTATGTGATCCTATAACACATTTAAAACTTAATATTCTCTTATCTAAATCAAATCCTTTAAAGTAATATCCGGTTACAGCTAAATAATCTTTATTAGCAACGGCAGACCAAATGTATGCCATTAACGCAACGCACCCGCTAGTCGAGTGTAAAAGGTTTATTAATACTTCTTTTTCTTTTTGAAATAATTTTAATAAATCTTTCCTAAAAGTAGTTTTTGAAGTGAACTGTGCATTAGGATTATGTACAACCTTAATATATCGTTGCCACTTAGGATGCTCTACAAAACTAAGTGGTTGATCTAAATCAGCTATCATTTGTGCAACTTCCATAAGATCTAGGAGTGGTAATTCGGGTTGGCAGGTCGTGTTCGTGTCGTGTTGACCTCCTCAGTTGACACGAATAAGTCTGACACAAACACGACCCGTTTATTAATCGTGTCAAAATATAAAACCCAAACACGACCTGTATATTGGCAGGTTGACACGACACGACACGAATAACTCGTTTATTAAACAAGTCATAAACGTATCGTGTCAACCTGTTGATTACCTGTCAACCCATTTATAAAATAGGTGATAAATGGGTTGTGTTAACCTATTTATGAACATGTTTATAAAACAGGTGATAAATGGGTCGTGTTAACCTATTTCTGAACCTATTTTTTAACATGTTTATAAAATGAGTAATAAACGAGTTGTGTATTCGTGTTACCCAAATATGACACGTTTAATAAACGGGTTATGGCAGGTCAATTGCGGGTTGGCGGGTCAACTTGAAAATGACACGTTATTTAATCGTGTTTCACAGGTTCGACCTGAGTTTGACCCGTACTTATTTATGATAAACCCAAACTCACTAATTTTGTACGGGTTTCGAGTCGTGTCGTCGTGTCGCTACCCGAATTGCCAGCCGTAATAAGATCTACTTGTGGATCGTATTTTCAAGTTGTTAGATCACCGGTTGCGCGATAAAAAGATAATTGTGTTTGGCGGAGTTCGGGTCTGCCGGACTGGCTAAGCTTTTAAAGACACTTTTCAGAGTGTCTTCTCAAGCGTGTGGTGCCGTGAATGGTGTCACCTTATAATTTAGATAAACAATATTTACACTAAGCTATGTGTTTAGTGTTACCTTCATTGTTGATTGATAAGTGCACAAATTTGCACTTTTAATGTTCATAATTGTCAAATTATTTTATCAAAATTTGTGATTTTAATTTCAAATATTCCTGAATTTAGAGGATTTAAATTTTAATTGGATTTTTCAGGTTTTTGAAGAAAACAATTGAATTTGGGCTAGTTTACCAAGCAAAACCCAAAAGTTGAGCCCAAGAAAAGCCCAATTCAGCCCAAAGCCCATCAGCCCATCGTCCAGCCGAGCCGAGCCGAGCCGAGAAGCCGCGAGCCCATCCCTGGGCGAGTCTCTTCCACGCGCGCGTCACCCGAATCTCCTTTCCTCTCCGCGTGGGCCCCGCGTTCCAGCGTCCCTCCAGCCAGATCTCGCCACGCGTCCAGTGGGGTCCAGCTGCTCCCTCGCGTACGCGCACTTTGCGCGCACGTTCCCTCCCCGCGCGAGTTCTTCTCTCGCGCGCATCCAGTCGTCCTCCGCGTGGGTCCAGCTGTGCACCACGTCTTCTCCCCGCGCGCAAATCAACTCACGACACGTGTCCCACTCTTCAGCCAGATGCGTTTATGATGGTTTTTCTTCCACGTTTAAGCCTTGTGATGGTTTTTTCTTAGCATTTTAAAAACTCTATAAATAGGGCCATTGTCAAGGTGATTAGGGGTTAATTTTTAGGAGTCTAAATTCTCACACATTTTCTATTATTTTCTTGTTCTTATTCTCATACTTTCTTTTTAGAATTTTATGGGAATTATGTGCAAGCTAGGCTAGAGTATTTAGGTGAGGCTAGAGATGATCCTATTTATGTAGTGAACTTATTTGGATTTTTGATTCTCTAATGGTTTGTAAGTTTTATACATTTGAGTAAATAATTTTCTTTTATCATAATTCTTCTTCTTATCAATATATTTTATTGTCAACTTTCATATAAATCTAGTCAAGCTCTTTTTATGTGATTGTTGCATTATATTATATATTGATAGGTATTGTTTTATGAGTAGTCTTTTACTGCAATATTGCCAACGGTATATTGTCGCTCTTAGATTTCTCATAAGATAATTTTTTCTAATTCTAAACGTTAGAATTTTATTTACTCGAATACATTTTTAATTCATATGTTCTTCAAATATTTATTTTCCGATTGATTGTTTGGGATGTGAAACTTTCAATTGAGTCAATTTATGAATCAAAATCCAATTAGGTAAACAAAGCATATGGAGGATTTTCAAAGCTTTACCACTTTTTATTATTGAATTTTCTCCATTTTAAATTGTTCAAAAAATCATCAAAAACACTCATTCCCTTTCTTTGTTTGATTGCTTACTTTCCTAAAGCTTTTTATTTGCTAGTCATTTCTTGTTCAATTTAACACCTCCTCGTGGGATCGACCGTTCAAATTGTACTACAATTGACCGCTTGTTTTTGTACACGTTTGGGCGTAACCATCGATCTCCTCAATTGTGTCGAAGTGATCCCAAACTGTCGAGGTGCACTTACATTTCTTCTTGGAGGTTGCAACACTTGAAGACGTAGTCGCACTTGCACTCGTACTCACCGCTTCTCCACACCCACCACCATTGAGACCATAACCTCCAGTACACCCACCAGGGCTCGGATTATTAGATTCATGCGTAACAGATTCATTAGTAGGAAATTTTCCTTCTTTCACGTTGTGTTGGGCATTAACGGGAATACCACTATAACCAAAAGAATCCATTATAAAAAAATAAGAGCGATTTGAGAGAGAGAGCTTTAGGATAATGTGATAGTTTTTGGAAAAATTGTGAGAGAGATTTGAGAGATTGAGAGAAATTGAGAGAAATTAAGAGAGATTGAGAGAAATTGAGAAGGATTGAGAGAGTTTGAGTGAGGAAGATGTGTGGGGGATGGGGGTATTTATAAGAAAATTTTTGGGTTAAAAAATTGATTTTTCCCCCCAAATTCGGATCCAACGGCTACATTTATTTTCGGCGGGTCGGGTTCGGGCGGATTTGAGCAGAAATTCAGGCAACGATAAAAAAACTAGCCGTTGGGACCGGGCTTCGGGTCGGGTCAGACTCTAACTGTCAAAATTTTGACCATTGGTCGGGTTTCGGGCAAGTCGAGCAGTTTGGGCCAAATAGGGCCTGGCCGAAAAAATTTCGGCGGACGGCAGTTGACGGCGACAAGATGGCGGTGGGCTTCGGCATGGTGTCCATTTTCGGGCTGCCAGAGCCCGAAAATGTATTGTTGGATGGGCTGGTAGTTGGGCCTGTCCACCAAGCTCGAAAAATTCAGGCCTCGAGCCGGCCCGCCGGCCCAAAGTTCTAACACTAGAGATGAGCTAAATCGCAAACCATAAGTTGAATTGCGGGTGGGTGGCGGGCCGGTTTGCACGTGCGGTGAGTGGTTATGAGTGGGTTGACGGGTTGGGCTTGTTGTTTGGACCAATATGCTAGTTAGACAAAAAAAAATAAAAAATGGGGAAAAAAGTTTTAAGTGTTGTTTTTTGTATTTATTTTAAAAGTTAATAAGAGCTCGTAATATAATTCTTAGTTAATACTATTCGTTAAAAGTAAGAATAAAAAACACTAAATCTCTATGCACACAATACATTTGAATTAGATGATGGTCTATATATTAACTTTTATCTCTATACATGCATATTTGATCTCTCTCTTCTTTTTTTTTTGACATCTTATACATGCGTAATTATAAGAGTTTTAAAGTTTAACACGTGAATCTCACATATTAAAGTGTTTCTTTTTCGTTGATGGTTCCTTTTAATTGAGTGCAAAATTTATAGCTCCGTTCATTTTACTGATTTAAGTTTATAATTCGAGTTTTGTTACAGTAAAAATCTCTAAAAAAATAGTCAAATTTAATTTTTTTATTACAATAAAAAATTCTCACATAAAGTTATATCTCAACTCAAATTAAAAACTCGAACAGTGAACTAAACATACCCTACATTTGTTTTTGGCTTTTTTACATGGAACCCCCTGAACTTCTCTTGTTTGGTGGATTGGTCATTAAACTAAAAATTTTTACAATCGACTCCTTAAAATGACGGTATTAAGGCCCCGTTCACTTCGCTGATTTGAGTTTAAAATTCGAGTTGAGATGTGACTTTATGTGAGAGCTTTTTACTGTAGCAAAAAAGTTAGATGTGATTGTTTGTGAGAGCTTTTTACTGTAGAAAAACTCGAATTCTAAACTCGAATCAACGAAGTGAACGGGGCCTAAGTTTTTAGACGGAATGGGTCACTGGCATTTGCTAGTCATTTTCTTAATAAAAAGAAACGAACAAACATTCATTTTGATGAAGAAACCCAGATCGGAAAAAAAAAAAAAAGAAAAAAAAATCTGAAAACACCATATCTGAACAAACAAAGATGAGCAAGTTGTAATATGGTGGTAATGGGGCATTATGAGATTCCAAATCATTTCTTTAATCGGGTAATAGCAAACATCAAAACAACCAAATAATCTCAAAAACCAGCGTAACAATACACTTATCATCCATCTGCAATCAATTCGACAAAACCCAAACCCAAAACAACTCAATCACCAACTGATCCTTCCAAGAAAACATGAAAACAATTCGGTCTAGAATTTGACGGATATATACAAGCTCCTAAGTGATCAGAGTTAAACTAAATTCACCGAGCAAATATCAGATCAAGATTGAATTATAGAAAAATTGAAACTTGAAGGGAGGAAAAGAAGTCGAGAATTTATGAAAAGGAATTCCTTCATTCTTCTTGATTGGTTTCTGTAAAAGGTGGATTCATAGCCTCCGACACAACACCGGATATTGCTTCCCTTCCTCCACGTGACGGTAATACAACCTGTGAAAAAGACCAAAAGTTCCATCAATCTTTTCATTTTTTTCCATCCAGATTTTCTCAAGAGCCAAATAGGAGGAGATTCGGCGGCTGCTCCGACCAAGGTCCCCAGCGAAGAGGAGGAACGGAAGGTCGAAGGCGAGGGGAACCGGAGAGAGAGTGAAGAAGTTCATTTCATTGATTTAAGTTTAAAATTTGAGTTTTGTCACATTAAAAATTTTTAAAAACAGTCATATTTAATTTTTTTATTATAGTATAAAAGTTTCACATAAAATCACATTTCAACTCGAATCAACGAACTAAACGAGCCCAAAATGCATTCGAGTTGAGAATTTAAATTTTATTACAGTAAAAAATTATCAGAAACAGTCAAATTTAATTTTTTTACTACAATAAAAAAGTCTCACATAATCATATCTAAACTTGAATTAAAAATTTAAATTAGCGAATTAAACGAACTTGAAATATTAAGGACTGGAATTTTTTTTTCTTGTGTTTTATTATTATTCTTTTGTTAATTCGTAATTTGAATAAAAAGACTATTAATGCCCTAATTAGGAGTTCACGTCCAAGTCACGTGTAAAAAATTATCCAAAACTGTTCAAAATTTGAACGTTACCAAAAGAACCACTAATATAATAAAGACTAATCCGTCAAATATGAAAAGTTTAGGGGAGTCGTATGCAAAAAACCTTTGTTTTGTTTTGTATTTGTTTTGTTTTTTGTTTTTTGTTTTTTTTTGTGTGTATAGCATCAAATTTAATATTTTTAGTTACTGTATCTTATAATAAAGCAAGATAACATACTTTTTTTTCCTTTCCCCTAGTAGAAAAGATATTTAAACAATAGAAGATACAACAATTATATTAGATTTAACAAATGAAAACTAATATCACGAGCATATAGTATACCTATTACGAGTATTTCCATTCAGTAACCTAGTTTTAAAAAAAAAAAAAAGTGGCCGTGCTAACATGCGGGGTGGCGGGTTGATGATGTGGCGTCAATCATGGCAAGCGGGGTCGGGACAGAGCAGGCATGTGAGACAGGTTGGTGGTTTTTTATACACCCCTAATTTTAATCATGTATAGGACACATAACAAATTAAGAAAAGACATTATAAAAGAATAATGACAATGCGACGGTTAGTTGTAAATGAGGATATAATATTTAAGGCTTAGAGTGAAAAATTTGCAAGTTATCTTTTTAATTTTTCTAAATTTTGAAATCTATTTTATAATTTACAATTATATTAATATTAACCAAATAATCACCTAATCGATAGTGAAATATAGGATTAAAACAACCATTATTTTTGAGGATTAAATTCAAAATTAAAGGAGAAATTCAGCAATGTCACTCAAACAATGTCATTATCTATATTTATTTTAGTATTATCACTCAAATCTATACTACTCACTTAAACATATATTATCAATTTGTATTCTTTTTTATTTTTATTTTTAATAGCATGCCATGTAATTTCGTCTTAAAAAAAATTAACCCTAATTGTATATTTCCTTAAATTAATGTTGTTCGTGGGAAGAAAAACCGTCAGTCTCAGAAAAGTGGTCCTGCAAACAGGACGCGAGTACCAAACGGTGGCGTAGACTTCAGCGAGAGAGAGAGAGAGAGAGAGAGAGAGATCGGCCGTCTGAAACACGCTCGAGTCTGGGTTGTGTGGTGGGAAGAAAGGGCGTCTACGGAGGGTCTCGTCCCTATTACTAGGGCTTTCCTCTCTTCATACTACGACAAATACCCGTTTTCCCCTCTCTCCGACGACGTCTCTCGTCTTTCTTCCGAAATTCGCTCTTTCGCTAACGATGTCATCGCTGATATTCCCCCCAATCAAGGTATTCTAAATCGTGCTTCCTTGTTTTTGTTGATAATAATTGTGTCGGGTTCTGAATAAATTTTGAACAATCTCGAGGAAAATTCATTGTGGAATTTCAGGTAGAATTGCTAATAAAGTAGGGTTTTGAATAATCATTTTGTCAATGAATGCCAGTTTTGTGCCTTTGCTTTTTTTTTCCCCCCCGACTTAGTTTCTCTGCCATTATGCGTTATAAATTTTCCATCTTTTGAAAAAATGGTTAGTAATAATAACACTCTGCAAAAGTGTAAATCATAATCACGAGAATGAATTATGAAAGACGAGTGAGGAAACAATGTTGTATTTCTGGTAATGATTTCATGATGTTTTGTCGTGTACTGTGTGTTCCCAGCCGTGATGCTGCTAAAATACTAGTAACAAGGACCTAAACTTGTGCATAAAGGCTATATTCCTTGGGTTTTCACTGATTATTATACTGGGCTTGCCTTATTTGTTGCAATTATTCTCATTGTAGGTGAAAAGTTGTTATTGGATGAAGCCGACTGTAGACCTCCCCATAAAATTGATGAGAACATGTGGAAGAATCGAGAACACATTGAAGAGATTATCTTCTTGCTTGAGAGCCCTCATTGGCCTCCGCTGGTACGAATTAGATGCATTTTTACGAGAGCTCTGTATTCTTCCCGTGAAATGGCCTCTTACCTACTTGGCGTTTCATGATTTTTAATTTTGATTTTGTATTTCTCTGATTGAGTGCAGCTCCAACAGCAGTCGATCGATGATGCTGAGCTTGCCGTTGTTTTGGGGCAGATCAAAGATAAATTTCAAAACACTTTGAAGACTTTGCAAACTTTCCAAGCAATGAATTCAGAGCGTATTTTCAATACAGGTTAGTTTTTTTTTGGCACGTCAATTGTACATGCGCATGTTATGTTATGTTGGAAGAACATGTTGCTTTTATTACTGTTCTTATTTATCTTATTATAATGTCCAACACTTTTCATTTTGTTCACTGGGTTGAGATTCTCTTCCTTTTGGTTTGCAGCTTTTTCATAATTCTCCCGTTCTTGCATGTATAACCTTGTGCATTTTTATTTTAAATCTAAATGTGGTTGGTGTGTTTTTCAAAAGAAAATGGAGATAGCGTAGGGCTCATGCCATTGTAGATACTGATGGGAACTCATGAATAATGTTGGTTCGCGTTGATAAACATAGGGTGATTATGGGTGCATTTGGAAATGATTTTGTTTTCTGTATGAAAATGAAAACGAAAACGTTTTCATTTTCATTTTGAAATCATTTCTGAAAATACGTTTGGTAGTTTTATTCTGAGATTGTTTTCAGTTTTAAAAAAACTGAAATTGTGTTCGGTGGTTTAATTTTTAAAAACATGTAATAATATATTAATATAACATTATATACGGTATAACTAACAGAGGAAATGTTGGGGGCAGTCAAAGAAGAGTGGGGGGGGGGGGGGGGCGCAGTTGCAGACGGGGGGACGCGCAGTCGCAGAAGAGTGGAGAAAATGAAAATGGGGAAATGGAAAACGACTTTGAGCGATTTCAGAGAGGAAATGGGCGATTTCAGAGAGGAAATGGGAACTACGGTCGAGAAAATGAAAACAACAAAAATGAAAACGAAAAAAAATCGTTTTCAGAAACATGAGAAAAAAGAGAAAATGAAAAGGGTGTTCTCAGTTTTGATTTTGGGAAAATGGGTCACCAAACGACAATCTGTGAAGCGTTTTCATTTTTGCTCCTCGGAAAACGTGAAAAAGGTTTTCAAAAACGAAAAGAAACACGCCCTATATATTTGAACTTCGCGCAACAAAAGGATCATTCAAACTTTTACATCATGACAAACACATTTGAGTTATTTCTCTTGAATGTCTGATTTAAAAGGTTATCAAAATTGAGACACCTCTTACAGGTTAAGAAAATTCTTATATATAAAAATAGAAAAATAGAAAAAAAGATTGTGGAAAGCTTAAAATGTGTTTCCGGGTATTTATTAGAAGAAAATAAAATAAAATCTGTTTCCAGGTGGATAATATTTCTTTGTATTGGAAAGTCAATTTGAGTTACAGGTGATTGAACATTTATGCAGCATATTCGTCGAGTTATTAGTTTACAACTTTGCTTGTATTTAGCTTTTTTAGAGTTGATTGATGCGGGAGATGATATAAGCTAGAAGTTTAACTCTGGCATCTTGAATATTTTTGAGGCATATATTCTTTCACTTGTGTTAGTATTATTCTTATTGTCCATGCCGTGATGCCTATGACTGTATGATTCGCCTCGTTTGGTACAATAGACTGTCAATACTTTCTTTCTCTCAAACAAATTTGCCTAGCCACTAAAGATTTTGCTAAAACAACTAATTTGTGTACGTGTATCTTTAATATCTTTACTTTATCATTGTAATTCCAAGCTTTTTTGGTCAGTGAAATTTGTGTTGTTATAGATGTCTAAGAGCTAGTTGGCAACGATAAACAAGGTGTAGTGTAGTCTACTTAGCACTTACATTCTCTTTTACTATATTTCAACTTTATTAACTCATTATGAAACGAATCAATAATTCTGCTTGCCGGAACTTTTTTCTTTTCTGGTATTTTATATTAAGTATCCAAATTTAATTGACATAGCATTTTTTTTTTTTTTTTGAAAAGAAATTGATCAATTTGGTATGCTCTTGGTCATCCAAGAAAAGAAAAAAAAAATGGCATGCTCTTGGCTGCCACTCTGCCATATCGTACCACTTCATTCTAATCGGTGTACTGATATGAACTTATCAGCTGCCTACATATGTTTATTTCAATCCTTTGGGTTTTTATTATTGTGTGCTGAGATTTATTTTCTGTCATTAATGATGGGATCTAAAAACATATTTGCAGTTATGACGTACATGCCTCAAGATTTTCGGGGGTCACTTATTAGACAACAAAGAGAGCGTTCTGAGAGGAATAAGCAAGCAGAGGTAGATGCTTTGATTAATTCTGGAGGAAGTATACATGATCGATACACCCTTCTTTGGAAACAACAAATGGAGAGGTAAGGAATGCTCGCTGTCCATTATACCCAATGTTTCCATTTATGGACGACTTTGCAATTTATTGCTGTTTATTCTTACAGGAGGAAACAGTTAGCTCTGCTTGGTTCTGCTACAGGTGTTTACAAAACCCTTGTGAAGTACTTGGTTGGGGTTCCACAGGTATCGATCGTCCCGTCTTTGGCCTGGCACTTAGTTTTTTGGATGCAATTACTTTTTAATCTATGCAATTCTTCAGACAGCTACATATCATTGTTTGTTTGCCAGTTTCCGTTTTACAACTGTGTGTTTGTTTAGGACTTTTGTCATATTTCTTTTTAAATTTTCTTTACAATTCTTTTAGTATGGGTAGCATTGCTGATTGCACTTTAGAAAATATTTTAGGTTGCGATGCATTTTCAAAAATGTATTTTGTTCCTAGATTCCTTGCATTTTTCAGAATAAGGTTGCTCAGTTTGTTTTGATTTCTTTTGCGGATGCAGGTTTTACTAGATTTTATTCGTCAAATAAATGATGATGATGGGTGCGTGTTGAAATTAGTATCCATCCTTCCCCTGTTGTATCATTGTTTCTTGTCACCTACTATATAAAGCCGTATATCACTATTTTAAGCCTTATTGTATATGGTCAAATCTTGTTTTTTATAGGCCTATGGAAGAGCAAAGGCAACGGTATGGACCACCTTTATATAATCTTACAGCAATGGTGCTGTTCATTCGGCTCTTTCTTGTGTTAGCTTGGGGACGGTTTGAGGCTGGAAAGTTGTAAGATATACTTCTATTTCTTGTCACTGGTTGTCAAAGTTGATTAGTTTTACTGCACCCTGTTCCTAATGAGGCAGTGAGATTTTTTTTTTCTCTCTATTGTCTTTTGCTGATGCATCTCTGTTTGCCCAAATTGAGCAGAAATAGGCAAAAGGTTGCTGTCTTGGAACAAGCAGTTGATGTCTACACCACCGAGTTTGAAAGATTCCTCAAGTTTATTGGGTATTATTCCTTTTCACCGCTGAGTTTATTACTTTGTGTTTGTAATAGGTGATTTAGAATCCTCGTTGCTATGATTACGTAACTATATGTGTTCAATTCAGTTTTTGGCTATGTATCTGTACCTCTTATTTTATAAAAAATCCATTGATGCTGATAGTTGAAAGTAAATTGTGTTTTTCTTTAATAAAGTTGAGCGAGAATAAGAACGCATAATCGAGTATTCATTATGATAGCCAACAACTAGAATTGGAACTTTGATAGAGCCTTGACGAGTCTGATGTTTTGCATGATATTGTATTAGAGCATCTCTAATGTAATGCTATAATTGATGTCCCAATTGTAAATTTAGCATTTAAGTGCAAAAAACACTCTCCAATGCAATGCTATATTTGCTGCGGCAAATTTGCCATGTGTTGTTCTTTGTGGCAAATTTTTCACCTAGTATATGGCAAATTTGCATCTGACTCCTATTGGTTGATCTTGTTACTTTTTAGTTTTTTATTGAATCATTACAACTTATTGCTTTTTCAAATTATTTTAAAATCAAAGTTTACTTTTACAACTTTTAAAGCATAATGATTATAAGAAAAGTAGATTTTAACATTTCAAATAGTATTATGCATTGGAGCAAAAATGAAAATAACGTGTCATATTTTACTTTTTGGTGTTAAATATACAATTGGCATTAGCATTTGCATTGGGGATGGTCTTATCGTCTCAATTCTATGATGGGGCTGCTATTAATTTCACCTTATTCGCAATCCTATGTGAAATTTGCTAATATAACCTGAAGATATTGAACGGTGATTCTATTTATACAATCGTGTCCGCATTTGGTTTGATTTTTGTTTTTTAGTTCATAATTGATTGAAAATGCTGCCTTTTCTCGAGTGATATGAACGATCATTGTATTAGCAATGAGAAAAGTGAAGTTTTCTTGTTTAAAAAAAAAAGACATGAACAATTTTTATAGAAGTTTTCTTATGCTTCATGCATAAAAGGGATCCTTTCCCAGTGATGATCATGTTTGGAAAGGTGAAGGAGAACTAGGACCTTATTATTTTCCACTACTGCTATGTGCTATCTATTCATTCATATATTGATTACCGTGCGTCTTATTCTAGTGAGGTCTTTGCAAATTCGCCCTTCTTTATCTCAGCAGAGGTTGCCGGTGCACTGGAAGGAAGGTAAATTTCCAAGGCCTGGTGTGTTATTTATGAGTGAATGTTTCAAGATGAGTTCTCATCTGTCTCTCTTGAACAGGAAAAATGATGATTACAAAGAAATAAGTGTTCCAGCTGGCAAAAGTCATGAGGTTTGTTTGGCTATCTAATGCTCATTTCAGCATATGCTATGTTTATTCATGAAAAATATCCAATCTATATCACCTATTTTGATCTCAAAAGTTTGTAGTAGTTACTTCCCGTAACACAATAAGCTAAGATTTCTACACTTAAAAACTTGTTCTCGATCATTGGATCTCAAAAGTCGTACATGGAGAGCATCTTTATATGTCTGATGGAAAAGGATACAAGTTAAATTTGCTTTAGGATTGAAGGAAAATATGAAAGACAGAGAATCTTCTTTGTATAAGAGTAATTTTTTCGACTAAGTGAAGTATGTAATATAAAGCAAAGGGGACATGTGATAATGTCTTCCAAATATAGAATAAGCACACAAACATGAAACGTGCACATAGCCACGTCATATGATCTCAATAATAATAATAATAACAACAACAACAACAACAGTAGTAATAATAATAACAACAATAAATTAATAATAATAATAATAATAATAATAATAATAATAGTTGTTGTAATAATAATAATAATAATAATAATAATACAATAATAACTAATAATTAATAATAATATCCATAAAATTTTGAAGGTTCCCAGTCTGGTAATTTTTGTAATGCCATAATGGGATAGCCCTCATTTTATAGAAGTGTGTAAAATTTTTCTTGAAAATTTGAATATTCAAGTAGTAAAAACATGTTTTATTTCATATATTGAAAGTGTATAAGAAGAAAACTGTTGGCAAGGAAATTAGCATTGTAATCCAGGTTTAAGATTATGTAGGTGATATGGGAGATGAAGCTAAAAATGGTGTAAGGTTGTTATTGGTTAGATGCTTGGATTTAGAGTTTAGACTAACAATCTAAAGGCAAATGTTTAGTTAGATAATGAGGAAATTTTGATCCATATACTAATTGAAAATTATATATCTTTTTCTGGTAAGAAAAATGTTATTTTTGAGACAAAGTTCGGACTGTTTTTCAATAGGACCCATAATTGAATGCAAACAAATAGATAGGCATCAATCGGTGATAACTAGATGAAATCCTTGAATTAGCTTGAACTTTAGTTTCAAGAACCTTTTCTTCTTGGCTTATGCAAGTTGTTGTCCATGTCACGATTTTTTATTTTTCTTTTTAATTATATATGGTACTAGAAAAGTTATTTTTGTTTGCCCATAATTATATTTGTCTTAGAAAAATATTTTGGTGTGTGAAAAATAAAGTATGAAAATTTGATGGCATGGGAATATCTATGTTACGTTAAACATAGTTTTCTACCTTAAAGTTGGTTCAGCTTGTCTGCCATGCTTAAAAATTCATCCATTCAAGGTGATGCGTTGATGAAAAGGATGTAATCCGTTTAGTTTAGGCTCATTTTACTAATAAATTAGTGTCGTGAAAAATTATTGTTATTCTGTACAACGAAATTTAACATTTGCAATTAGTTAGATCAAAGTGAAAATTGCTACCACAGAGCAAGACTTTGAATGTCGTTAATACTTTTGACCATGTTTTTAATGGGCTCATGGAGAAGAAAATAAAGAGAACAGAGAAAAGAGAAACGTTGAAGAGACATCTTTAGCAGATGGTTTAGGATTAAAAAAGAATTTATTGATTTTATAATTTCTATAACTAGTGAGGATTTGCTACACTAGTGATCGACGTTTATAACCTTTTATGTATTATACTACCCTCCCAGGTCTTGTTGTCGGTAGACTCATTAAATTCATACATTGCTTGGGATTTCTCGGTGGTGCAAGGCAAGATATCTTTGGTATTGTTCTAAACTTCCATTAATGCTATCGCTTGATAATGAAATTTCTTTCGTTTATAGTTCTTTCTTTTTAACAACTATTTGCCATTTTATGGGGAGTATAAGGAAATGATATGCATCGTGTGTTTGCATATACATTGCATTATTTAAAAGTTTGTTACTTCTCTCTTTTGCTAAAACCTGTTGTCTTTTTGTTCAGCATTAGTTGCAACTTTTAGTGACTTAGTTCTTTATCTCTGGTAGTTTCATCAAAAGTTATTTCCGCTAACTGTTCGTGTATGATATATCTGTTGTTTATCTTACAATGTAGGATGTGGTAGATAAGGAAGATTATCAAAAATCTTGAAATTTAAATTGCAAAAATAATTAATCAGAATATTAGAGAAGAATTTTGCTGTAGTAATTGTTTGATTTTAGATTGGATGATTGATTTTGGTTAATGAAAGGAACGATTGGAATTTTGAAGTTCCCCTCCCGCCTACCCCTCCTGCCCTTTTTAATTATGTACTTGCAAGTTCAAACACTGATTTTAAATCTACAGACAATGAGATTTTGTGCAGGCGAATTTGTGATGGCTTTTGCAGTTGTTAAAATCTCTGTAATCTGGATCTCAATGTTATAATTTATTTCAAAATTGTTGACAACATACATTGAAAATAAGCTATATCTTGTGTTCCAGGATATTGGTTTCAGTGTGGAGTATACAAACTCTTCGGGAGAAAAAACTGTAAGTTGCAGTACTCTGCTTACCTACTACCATTTTATGTGATGTTTCGACTTTCAACTCGATTCCCTCTTTAAAACAGTCTTTGTTGATTATATTGTTTCGTTGATGGTTGCTGCGCAGCTAATATTGCCCTACCGACGTTACGAGGCTGATCAGGTGAGTTTATTTTTCCCCTCCTGTCTCTAGTGGTCTTGCAACAGTTTGATGATGATTGCTTAAATTTTTTTTTTGGATATTTGTTCTTTCAGGGCAACTTCTGCACATGCATGGCTGGAAACTACAAACTAATTTGGGACAATTCATACGCAAGTTTTTTTAAGAAGGTAATGGTATATTTGAGGATTGCCAACATTCATTTCTCGCGTACTTTCCCTCTTCCCCTATATCGTTATACTTGTACCAAATGTTTAGGTGAGAAAAATTATGCATTTTATGTTGTTTTAACAGGTGCTGCGGTTCAAGGTGGATTGCATACCTCCAGTCGTGGAGTCGCCGCCGTCCGATAACCAAGTAGAAGTATGACGAGCCATTTTATTGTAGCATCATCCCACATTCTTGCTCATTGTGATTCCTTGCTTTTAACTTAATTATACAATGTATCACGCAATTCACATTATTTTTGGTATAATGTCTCCCGAGGGTGGTTATCCTTATTTGGTTACGTAATTAAGAGCTAATATTTTCAATCGGATAAGAATGTATATGTTGTATATTTATTTTACCTGGAAATCAGCAAAGTCCATTCATCTCATCGCATAAATTCAGATCCCCCTTATACCTTGTTCTTGCCTTTTATCATGGACAAGGCTTGTGAGTTTGTAATTTTATACCGAAGAAAAACAGAATATATAAGCTCAAAAACATACCTAAAATCAGATGCCTAAAATTCCTTTTTATTTTTATACGTGTCATGGTAGCGATTATGGATCCTCCAGTAGGGTGTATGAAAGGGCAAGAAGCGATATTCAAGCTTACTGCTTGAATAGCTTTCTGAGTATTTGGAGCAAAGAACTGCTATCGAGCAGTCAAGGAGAGATTGACAATATGCTTCTAGTGCCAGGCAAATGTCCCAAATTTCAAGTAAAGTTATATGCTCGCTTGGCGGCATCAAGGGTGTTAGACAGAAGCATGGCTATGGTCATTGGCCCAACTCCTCCAGGGACAGGGGTAATGGCTGACGCCACCCGCACTGCTTCATCATAACAAACATCTCCCATTAACCGGTAGCCGTGCTCGCAGCTGGGGTCCTGCCAATCCAGAATTCTAGTGTAAAACATGGCATCATTGAGTTCGCAAGTACGGCAATAAAATGCCGTCACTTCAGCTGCAAAACCGCATGTTATTGCATTGACTGCCTAGATATTTTGCATGTACTTGAAATGCAGAAGAGTTCAATAATATGCAATAACGAAAAAAATCCACCATACCTCTATTGGATTTGTCCCCACATCTATAACAACAGCACCAGGCTTTAGCCAGTTGCCACGGACCAGGTTGGGCACTCCAGCAGCTGCAAACACAATGTCAGCTTCGCGGGTGATATATTCTGGATCTTTTGTGAAAACGTGCACAACGCTAACTGTGGCATGGTGCCTCTGCAAGAATTTGATTAAATTTATCTTACTTAAATCTCAGAATGGGAGCAACGAGTAAATAATCATCCCAATAGGATATGGTATTGGTATTACCTGCAATAGCAATGACGCAGGCAATCCAACAATGTTACTTCTTCCGATCACAACAGCTTTCTTCCCCATTATTTCGATGCCAGACCTGATTAATAGCTCAATACAACCTTTCGGAGTGCAGGGAATGAACAAAGGCTCCCTCCCTCTCATAGCAAGATTCCCTATGATAAGTGGATGGAAACCATCTACATCTTTCTCCAGGCTCAGCACATCCGAAATTTTTCCCACATCCAAATGCTGTCCCGGACATTTTGTGGTAAGTCATCACAAATAGTAGCAAGTTCCGATAATTAATGCACCAGAACCTCAACATCAATTGCTAGACGTGTCATCTCAATGAGACGCTACCGACAATAATATAAATATACAACGGTATTTCATCATTTTAGTTCTCATTTGCACCACCTCACACCTTTTCAACTTTTCTGTAGATTATGAAAATCTTCGCATAATCTATTCCAGTAGAGTCTCAATGGCCGTCTTGTACAAACAGAAAGATAGATGCCTTGAGTTGAAGTAGGAGTTACAACATGGAAAGGTTTAAACTATATATATCTCTTAACTTCACTCGGGCATGGTTTCATTTGCATTTTTTAACTTTCAGAAAAGCAAGTAAAAGGGGTTTATAGCAGAGATCTAGAAATTACCCGGGGCAGAGGAAGCTGGACAAGAATACCATTAACAGATGGATCCACATTAAAACCAGATACGGCAGTAAGTATCTCATCTTCTGTGCAATCATCAGGCAGTTCAGTAACTTTTGACACTATTCCAACTTCTTCACAAGCAATAATCTTGTTCCGAACATAAGTTTGCGAGTCTCTTCTTTGCCCAACCAGAATGACAGCCAAGCCAGGAGCTTTTCCAATGAACTCCTTCATCCTCCTCACCTCACTAGCTATCCTTGCCCGGATTTCCTCTGCAATCAACTGCCCATTAATTACCGCTGCAGTCTGCTCATTTGCTGCGATAAAGATAAAATATGGAGCCTTTTTTAATAAAAAATAAACCAGGAGAAAAGTGGGAAAAAATAAATCATAAATATCAAAGACCTTTTTTTAATGGAGAAGATCTTGACATTCAAACTTACCAACAGAAGTTTTGGCATTTTTATATATTAAGCCAATAATAAAAGAAATAGTTAAGAACCCTTGGAATAGGAAAGGGGGATAAGTTATACCAAACATTCTTTTCTATTCCACATTATCCTATTAGTAATTCTTCTAATCTTGATGGACAATACATGGGAGGGGGCAAGGAAAATATATCATCTGATTCTCCTTCCATAAATTCGACACACATATAGATGTATCACAAGATCCCAAAGTATCAGTTCACCCCTAAATTCCAAGTCTAGTTAATGAATTACTTTGTTTGTGCATACACAAATACATGCACGGACACAAGGTTTATAGAAGATCTCAGAGAAGGCATTCATATATCATGTTTATATGTTTGCTATCATTAAGTACTAAATATTAAGATGATCTTGTTGTGACCAAAGGCCTTGAACTTGCACACGAAAACATTATTCAAATAAGGAAATCAATAGCAGAAAAAAAATTGTCAAAAGAAACTGCTAGTACTCAAACTCGCTTCTATGAGAGAAACGGACAGAATTAAATCTTAGAAGAATTTGTAAATTTTCCATAATTTGAAAGTGGAAACAAATGAAAATCAGAAAATGAAATGATAGGTGAGAGGCAAACTCACAGTGACTTTTGGTGGATCGAAATTGAAAATCGGTAGAGTCAGGAGGCCAAAGGTCAGGGAGGTGGTCTAAAGAGACAAGAGAGGGAGACATAAGAATTTGGCAGTCGTGGTCATCCTTATATGTATTCTGGGTCATTGTTGAAAACGGAATTCTCTGTCCCAGTGCCTTTTGCTGCCATGACACTACTCTTCTTCGCATCAAATTCCCAACCATCATCATCTTCTTCACCAAATCCCCCAACTCCTATATCATATTACTTGAGGTTTCTCTTTATTAGTGGGGTGTTGCAACTTTGAAAAATCTAGTCCCCTAGAGAAGCAGAACAGAAAGTTTTACATAAGACAGTCAATTGAATTCATCACCAAAGAACAAAATTTTCTCTCTCAACACTTTGTAATTTCATTTTCTCTATAAATATTTCGAAACCAATAATATGATCAAAATGAAGCACATATTATAAGCAAATTGCCAACAGAAGCATTTAATCAAACATCTGGTATGCATAGACCACATCTACACTGAACTTCATATACAAAACGAATTATGGAACTATGCAAATGAAATTCGAACACCCATATGCGAAAAAATGACAATGGTGCCTAAAATTCAGACGTTTGACGAGAAGAAAATAGAGACCATGAGATTGGAAAATCAAATTGAAAATAATAAACAGAAAAAGAAAAAGAAGATAACATACGCGTCTCTCTGTTGAGTTGAGGTGCTGTGGTTGAAGTAGTCGGAAAAATGGCTGCCGTTTGTAATTGTGAAGGACAACGGAGTGCAGGTTAAGTTGGACTTGGTCGTGAACACGAGAAGAAATAGAATCAAGACGACTTGTTAAGATTCTACAGTTTCGATAATTTTTCCTTTAAAAAAAAAAGAAAATAATGATTTTCAAATTATTTTAAAAAATAAATAAATAAAAAAACTTAAAACATCCCATGTACTGCACCGTGATTATTATAAAGTTGAAATAATTTTAATAAATATTTTTTTAAAAATATATGAGTCACAATTTTTATTTTTAATTTATAATTTATAATTTATAATTTTTTTAATTAAATAATTACGTTAATAAAAAATATTTATTAAAAATAAAAAATAAAAAGTTAAACTCATCTACTAATAACGTAAATTTTAGAGGACATTGGTGGTCGGTGAAGGGAGCCAAGCCAAGTAGGAGAGAGAAAGATTAAATGGAGTGGACACGTAAGATAACACGTAGGAATATTCTTCTTTGACCAAATATCACAACCAAAGCCACGTATTCACACAAATGCATAGGAAAAAAATGAATTTAAAAACCGCTTGCAACTCAGGCGAGACTCATCTTCTATTCATAGTGGCCTTTAACAACGATCGCTTCTTTTAAGTATTTTTTTTTTAAATTACTGTGTGACCTTCTTAATACTAGTGTAGCTACATGTTATGCATGTATTTAATTATAATTAAAGTTTTTACTACGCAGAATATGAATAATATATGAGGAAAAAAAATAAGAAAAGTTTTATTCAAAAATTCAAAAAGATTATATATTAAGTGGTATAAAACATATTTTAACGGTAATTAACACCTGACTCTATTATAAAATATAGAATTTAGATCCCCCACACATAATTTTTATGGAAAAATATATATATGGTAATATTGGTTTTTTTATAATATATGGTACAGGTTATATTTTTTTCATAGAAATATGTAAAATATTCAAAATTTCAAGATAACAAAATTTAAAAAAAATAAAGAAGATGCAACTTAAAAAGCAAAGAAAAAAAGTAAAGCACTTAAAACTCATCAATTTTAGACTACCATGCTAACAAAAAAAAAAAGTAATAAAGTTAAAACTTAAAAATGAGAGAAAAAAAGGTAAAAGTGTCAAAAACTCACTCTTTTAGACCACCAATAATGAACAATGATTGCATATTTACTCTTTACATATTTAGGATTTAGGATTTAAGATTTAGAATTTGATAGGATTTAGAAAGCAAAAGAAAGAAATAAAAGAGTTAAAAAGGGAAGAAAAAAAAAAGAGTAAATATGCACCAAAAGGGCATGGAAATTTATTTAGAAAAAAGGTTATGGAAAAAAAGTTAAAAAATAGAGATAAAAAAAATTTATAGAGAAAAGGGTATTAAAAAAATAATAAAATAAGGGAGTGAAGCACCGAAAGGGCGTGGAAATTTATTTAGAAAAAAAGGTTAAAAAATAGAGATAAAACAAGAAGTTTATAGAGAAAAAGGGTATTAAAAAAAGGATAAATTAAGGAAGAGTCTGTGTAAGGTGAGTTATTTTTTCTCTACAGAAGGGTGCAATCTAAATGCTCCTATTAAATCTCACTGAGAGTTTATGTATTTCCTCCCAAATCTAATTGTAGCCTAACCACAATAAAAATAATCACAAAAAAACCCTTATGTTTATCAAAATACAATTTCTTATAATCAAAACATCCTTATTATTATTTTTTTTTATGGTAAGAAAATATTTTTTCCTCATTTCAGTAAAACAAATCTTACATTTTTTTTAAATGATTGTTACACATTCATTATCTTAACAACTTAACACAACACATCAAAATAATCACAAAACTAAACCTATTACTACAATCATATAAATTTCCAATAAATACACATATTGATTTCATGAATACCAACAACACAACTTTAACAAAAAGTTTTCCTAACAAAATAAACTTCAATAATACACAAGTTAATTTCTCAAAATACAAATTAATTTCACAATAAAAAAGGAAAAAATTTCATATTAATACCTTATATTTTAAGGTAACCGTTTTTTAATACTCTACATTTTCAATAATTTTTAATTAGTATCGTTTTAAGAAATTATTTTTAGGGGTTGTTCTTTTGCAATGAAACTCAAAAAAAGTTTGAACTCGAGTTACAACTTTATTCAAGTTCATGTTCTTTTGTAAAATTTGAGTTTGAACTCGAGTTTGGGGCTAAACTCAAGTTCAAGTTTCTCATTCAACTCGAGTTCATGTAACACCCTCTAGAATTAAACATGTTTAATTATGCTAAACTGTGGATTATTAGTGTGCCTAATTTGATTTTCATAATTAATCAAGGGACTTTAAGTTATTTTCAGTATTTATAATTTCACCCCAATATTTTTTAGAAAACACACTTAAATTTAATACATTTTCCCTTTTTTCCATTTTTCTTTTTCCTTTTCTTTTCTTTTTCTTTTTCTTTTTTTCTTTTCTTTTTTTTTTTCTTTTCCCCCTTTCCCTTCCCGTGTGCCAGCCCACTCTTTTTTTTTCTTTTTTTTTTCTTTTCTTTCTTCTTCTTCTTCTCTAGTTCTTCCCGTGCACTAGCGCAGCCCCCTCTCTCTCTCTCTCTCTCTCTATTTTCTTCCACCGCCGGCCACCTCCTTCTCCGGGCTTCCTGCCGCCGGCGTTCTCTCTCTCTCCCTTGCTCTCTCTCTCCGGGTTTCTCTCTCCCTCTCTCTCTCGACAGTTTGGCCGAGAATCGCCAAAAAAAAAATGAAAAACAGATAAATTGAGGGAGACAAAGCTCGAGCAACTGATTTGAGGTAAAACCCTTTGAAACCCACTCTTTGATTCAAATTTTAAGCTTGAGAAAGTTTAATTTTGGTTAGATTTGAATAATTTTGAGTTAGGGTTCGAGTTTGAACAGTTATTATTGGAATCGAATGAAATTTGGGGATTTTTAGTTATTGGACTTGTTTAATTGATTAGAAACTGATTTTGATGGATTCTGGAGAATATATATTGAAATTGAACTTGAATTGTAGGTTTGGTATTTTTCCTATTTATGCCGGCATGCTGAACAAATTTCTTTAGAAACTTGGTTTTAAACTGAAATTAAATAGGAAAACCAAACCTATGAATTGGATTCTAATTTTTAAAGAACCCCCAAACTGAATTATAAAATTATTGTGAAACTTGGATTTGAGTCAAGGCACACTAATAGGAAACAATTAAACATGATTGAACTTAATTCGTTTTAGGAATGAGAAATACTTCTTAAGATATTGCTTTTGTGATAAAGCTAGTGGAGAAGGTCAAGTATTAAGGCTTTAAGGAAAGCGGAGGCTAGGAGAACTGAAGGCTAGCCCAGGTTTGACATTCGAGAGGTATGATATTCTTGTCCATATCCTTTTTAGCCTCACTTTAAATGATTTTAGCCAATGAAAATGTTTTAGAACAAAACATGTTTAAAGAAAATGATTTTAAAGAAATAGCACGAGAATGCTATTAAGTTTTCTAATGATTTTGGAAATGAGATTTCAAAGCGTATCATTTCTTAAAATGAAATATTTTAAGGACTGATACAATGCATGGTGGCCTCAGAGATCGAGATGTGGGAATCGCATCCTTGGGGGCAGATCCCGAAACCCGTACGGATCCACTTCTTGTTTAGTGGAATTATGGCTCTGCACTTTTCATTAGACAGACATTTTTACCGCTTCTTGTTTAGTGGTATGATGAGCTGCACACTTTCATTATACAGACATATTCTATTATGTGAGTATTTCTTTTTTTCAAAAAAAAGGATGATCGGTTCCGGGTGTATATCTTCGGACCGTGAGTACCTTTATTTTAAATGCTTTATAAAATTATATCCTACTGGGCCTTTCGCTCACCTTTTCCTGTTTTCAAATGTATTAATCCCCTCCAGGCAATGCCAGAAGTAGTGCGGAGTAGGTAACTATTACCGGCGACGTGGACTTGTTTCAGGAAAGCAAAGAGTTGTATTTCCTCTAATCCCTTATCTTAAGGCATGTATAAAAGATTATGGATTGTAAACTTAAATATTACTAGACTGTGGTTGATGTCACATTTACTCTTGTTTATATTCATGTATGCTAAACACTTGT